TAACTTGTAACAGTTTTTTTATTCCAATTATATACTATCAATTATGAAAAATAGAACAATCACAACAATCATATAAAAACATATACAAACAATAATGGTAACACATGCCCATTCATATGCATCTTCCCATGAGCCAACATAGGAAAGACAAGGTCAAATAAGGATAAAATGGGACACTTGAAGTGTCCACTTTTTTTTTTTTTTTTTTTTTAACAGCACTTGAAGTGCCCACTTGATCTACCACCAACTCTTGATGCTCAGTCCTAGTCCAACTCCATGGGCCTTCAACTTTACATTATCCTTAGCTTGAAATCTTCGGTCTTCAGATTATAACAAAGTTTTGATAATCTACATTATTCCTTCCCAATTGCTTGGAAATAATTCTCCTTATCAACTGTTGTTCCATAAAGTACCCAATTATGCTTCATTACACCCTTTTGGTTGTCGGGTATTCCCATATCTCCGAGATTATGCTCCCGAAAAACTTGCACCAAATAGTGCTTCTTGCATTTTTATTGGGCATGCCTCGCAATACAAATGTTATAGGTGTTTATAAAATATAGATTTATACACAAAAAGATAAAGAGAAAATTACCCCATTTGAACTATTGCGTATCTGTGTTTTAACACTTCTATTTTCGTTAAAAAAAACCACCAAAATCGCAGATGAACTTCAAAGGAAATCGTAGATGGATTAAGTTTATCTGTAATTTTAGTTAGATGTGAGGGTATTTATAACGGAAAAAATCAAAAAAACTAAAAAAACATCTGTGAACGTACAACTAATAATGCACGTCCGTGTGCTTTACCGACTTGTACATTCGCAGATCAAATGGAGAAATCGCAGATGAGCTTAATCCATCTACGATTTTGATGGTTATTTTTATAATGTTGAGTTTTTTTTAGCTATTTTCTACAAAATAATTAAAGAAATAGATTAATTAATAAAATATGTTAAAATTTTCAACAATATATACTTGCGCCTCTTTTCTTATTATTCCATGTAGAATTAACGATTCAATCCTCAATCGGTATTACTTGTTTATGCGACCAGATTCATTGGATCATAAGCCACGATAATACGACAACACATGGATCATCTTCATTTTCAGGACACTTTCGCCACATATAGCCTCTAAAAATCCAACGTGTACACTATACATAACATTAAAACAGAACAAAATTGCCACCATTTTCATTACGTGTCAAATCCTCACACTCCACACCCACTATAAATCCAAACCCAACCTCTTCGCCACTTCACACCACAATTCAACAATGAGTTTCCGACTTCTTTCTCTTGGTCTTTGCTTTCTAGTGCTCTTTCATGGCGGTTTGGCTCAGATACAGCCACCCCGGAAACAACAGACACGTCTAAGTGGACGCTCTGAATGCCAGATCGACAGAATCACCGCTAGAGAACCCAACCGCGTTGTGGAATCGGAGGCCGGAGTGTCTGAGTTCTGGATCCCCGAGGAGAACGATGAACTCGAGTGCGCCGGCGTAGAAGCAGTTCGTCATACTATTAACCCTAAAGGGCTTCTCTTGCCATACTACCCAAGTGCACCGGAGCTTGCCTATATCGTCAGAGGTACTCTTTGTTTTGTACATCGTGCATTGTAACTTGTACATAAGGTCACTGATTCACTTAGCTACTGTATATGTAACAGGCGAAGGTATTCAGGGAACTGTCCTTCCAGGGTGCCCGGAAACATTTGAGACATCGTTTCCTTCGGAGGGTGGAAAAGGAGAGTTTTTTGACAAGCACCAGAAGGTTTACCGATACAAAGAAGGTGATATATTAGCGTTGCCTGCCGGAGTAGTTCACTGGACCTATAACGACGGCGACAGACCCATTGTCACGATTGTTCTTCGTGATACAAGCAATGTGGCTAACCAGCTCGATCGAACCTTCAGGGTAATTTGTTTAATTAACATCATTTCTTAAACGTTTTTTGTGATTAGAGATTCATATGAACGTTTTTATGATCAGAAATTCTTCCTCGCCGGAAACTCACAAAGTCAACAAGGACAACAAGGAGGCCGTGGCCAACAACAGCGCGGCCAGGAAACCAGGTGGGAGGTGCCGTCAGAAGGCCGCACACAGGGTGGCAAGAGACGGGATGAGCCTCGCCGTGCTGAAGGTGGCCGGAGAAGGGGACAACAAGAACAAGAAGGCTCAAACATCTTCAGTGGTTTCGACGACCAGATCCTCCAGGACGTGTTTAATGTTGACTACGAGACTGTGAGGCAACTAAAGGGACAAAACGACAACCGTGGATTCATCGTTCAAGCTGATAACTTCAGAGTCATCACCCCAGAAAAGCAAGAACAAGGACGAGAACGACAACGATCATCACCTTCACGAGGACAAAGTGGTCGTCGTGGTGGTGGAGTCCCCAACGGCTTTGATGAAACCTTATGCTCAGCCCAGTTGAGCGCCAACCTTGCCAACCCAACCCATGCCGACGTGTACAACCCACGTGGCGGACGCCTCAGCAGTCTCAACAGCCACAAATTCCCTGTCCTCGACTTGCTTCAACTTAGCGCAGAGAGAGGAATCCTTTACAAGGTAATTAAACTATGGTGTCTTCAAAGAACTAAAATCAAATGAAATATAGAAAATCGTATTATAACTTTGCTATTTTTACGTGTAGAATGCTATTCATGCACCATACTACAACTTAAACGCCCACAGTGTAATCTACGTGACAAGTGGAAGCAGCCGTCTGCAAATCGTGAAAAACGATGGGTCAGCCGTGTTTGACGACTGGGTTCGGGAGGGTCAACTGATCGTGGTGCCACAGAACTTTGCGGTGGTGAAGAAGGCCGGCGAGGAAGGATGCGAGTGGGTGGCGTTCAAGACAAATGACAATGCGATAACGAGCCAGTTGGCCGGACGTTTCTCGTTTGTGAGGGCACTACCAGAGGAGGTGTTGGTGAACTCGTATGAGATTTCACGAGAGCAAGCTAAGAGTTTGAAGTATAACAGGCAAGAAGGTGTTGTTTTGAGTCCGAGGTCGACGAGTCCGAGAGAAACGGCGAAGAATGCTTTGTTGAATGTTCTTTTTGGTTAGATGAAGAAGTTGAAAGTTTTCATGTATGAAATGGTAAAATAAGAGAAGGTCGACTCAGAGGAAAGTAGGGATCGTTGTGCAATATGTATCCTTTACCGATAAATAATGAATTTTCTTTTGTGTTGCAATCGATCTAAGAATAAACAACATGGATATATGAGTGATTAATGAAGAATTTAAAATTGGTCTAATCGAATTTTCATATTTCAAAAACATATAATTAAAAAAAAAAAGGAAAAAGAGAAAAGAAAAAAGGAAAAGAAAGTAAGCATAAAAGATAAAACAAACATTTCTTCCAATTTTTCTCCTAAACAAACATGTCACAATAAAGGAAAACATATGATGCGGATTTAATCAACAAATATCCAGTAAATAGTTAAAAGGGGGCCAAATGAGCGCGCCAAAATCGGTTCCATTTTTGTTGAGCTGCAAACGTTTCCCTATACTTTCGATACCTTCTTCAACCTCTCTCTCCCCTTCCATTATTGTTCTCTCCCATTCTGGTTTGTTGAATCTCCGCAAAAGTAAGCAAATATTCTGCATTAAATCGGCACACATTTTACATAACGATTTTGGCCTTCTGAAAATTAATGATCGCCGTTATTCCCAATGTCGGATCGAAGATTTTAAGCAATTGCTGAAGAATTTAAGTTTGCGATAGGCCAAAGAAACGGGAAGAAGGAGAAGATTGGATTGCGATTATTTATGAAGACTATCATCCTTATCGTACCAATGGAAGGGTTTCAGATGGAATGACAGATGCTGTTAATTGTGGCTATCTGGACCATGATATTGAGCAGGTTTCTTCCTTCCTCCTCTCACTCAGGATTTAAGACATTACACACATGAATTTTTAATCCTTTCACGAAAATGAGTTCCATTTAATGTTATATGTTTGAGAACATAGAAAAATTGAGTAATCGGTAATTATATACAAGTTTAATCTTGCAATAACTTATTACATATGTGCTATATGCCTGAAAATTAATCGGTTTGTTTTATATCTTTTGGAAAGAGCAAAAGGAAAACATGTTCTACATTGAAGATTGGAGTTCCTTAAGAAAACATTCACTCATATATGTGTTGTTGATATTCAAATGGATTGAGCAAAACATAACTAAGTCACCACTTCTAATATTTTAGGCCTTGCTAGTAATCTATCTAAACTATCATCATTTATGATACTTGACAAATTTTGTGACACACTTTAAAAACTGTTATGACATGTTAGTGTGGAAAGGCACTTTGAGAGAGGATGAGGAACTTTTTTTAGCTCGTTCGCTAATGTGGACATTTTGTTTATGTTTGTGGGTGATGGCAATGTGGAATCTTACTTTGATATTTCTTAATTTAGCTATTTTTTGGACCATATATGTCCTAAAAAAAAACTTGCCATTAGTCCGTATATGTCCTAAAAAAACTCTAGAAACATGGTTTGAACAATATTGAAAAGCTAAGAAATAACAACATACTTTCACTGAGTTGTTCGACGTATTATAGCATCTTGCTTTAAGTTCTTCCTACAACATATTGTATAGTCTATCCTGCTATAACAATATCATTCAAATACAAAGCAACTTCGATTGCTACAATAAAGTAAAATATTAAAATTGATGTGTTTATAAGAAGAAATTAGTAACATAGTGCTATATAATTAGGTAGATTTCTAAATATACTATGTCTAAATAAGAAGAAAAAAACCAAAAGTACAATGTTCTAATAGAAAGAAATATAAGTAGGATGATATAATACACCAATAATAGTAGTAAGTTGTTATTTCTTACATTATATTACCGAGTTTTACAAATTCTATTGCTACACACTCTAATGCATGCTTGGTTTTCTTGGGTGTATACATTTACAACCTTCTAATTAATCTTTTAAATTTACCAGTTTTTAAATGCCAAATCTTGATCCACAAACATGCAATTAAGAACAAGTGGTGCAGCAGATGGTTTCAGAATCAGCGTTTCCAGCACTCCCAGTTGTTCAAATCACAATTCTGGCCACGATGACATAGAATCACTAGGAGACGTTTTCGTTTGGGGAGAAGTTTGGTCTGATGTGGCATCCACCGATGGATCCATAAACACTTTCCAATCAAAAAGTGACGTCACCATCCCTAGGCTCCTAGAGTCAAACGTAGTCATAGACGTCCAACAAATCGCTTGTGGTGTTTGCCATTTGTCCCTCGTTACAAAACAAGGCGAGGTTTTCACTTGGGGGGAGGAATCCGGCGGCCGGCTCGGCCACGGAACGGAAAAAGACTTCCGCCGGCCACATCTTGTGGAGTTTCTCGCCGTCACTAATGTCGATTACGTCGCTTGTGGTGAGTTTCATACGTGTGCTATAACGAACGCCGGAGATTTATACACCTGGGGTGATGGGTTACATAACGCCGGTCTCCTCGGTCATGGCACCGACGCCAGCCATTGGATTCCGAAACGGGTCTCTGGTCCTTTGGAAGGACTTCTGGTGTTCTCCGTCGCGTGTAGCACATGGCATACAGCGCTCTCAACCGTCGACGGGAGGCTATTTACGTTCGGCGATGGAAGGTTTGGGGTTTTAGGGCACGGAGATCGGGAAAGTGTAAAGTATCCAAAAGAAGTCCAATCGTTAAACGGGTTGAAAACTTTGAAAGTCGCGTGTGGAGTATGGCATACGGCGGCGATTGTCGAGGTCACAAATCAACACGGCGGACTTTCGACATCCCGGAAGCTGTTCACGTGGGGCGACGGGGATAAATTCCGATTAGGTCATGGAGATAAGACAACGTACTTACAACCAACATGTATTTCATCTCTTATGGATTACAACTTCCATCAACTAGCATGTGGCCACACGATGACATTAGCCCTCACAACCTCCGGCCATGTCTTCGCCATGGGTAGTCCGGCGTACGGCCAACTCGGAATCCCACAATCTGACGGAAAAAAACCGGCGTTAGTACAAGACGGATTAGTCGGCGAATTCGTCGAAGAAATTTCATGTGGGGCATACCATTGTGCGGTTTTAACATCAAGAAGTGAAATCTTCACATGGGGAATGGGAGCAAACGGAAGATTAGGCCATGGCGACTACGAAGATCGGAAAACTCCAACTTTAGTCGAATCGTTAAAAGATCGACACGTGAAAAGCATTTCTTGTGGCGCAAGTTACACCGCGAGTATTTGCATCCACAAATGGGTTTCCGGCGCCGATCAATCAGTTTGTTCGGGATGTAAACAAGCGTTTGGGTTCACTCGAAAGAGACATAATTGTTACAACTGTGGGCTTTTTCATTGCCATGGTTGTAGTTCACGAAAAGCGATCAAAGCCGCATTGGCGCCAATTCCGGGAAAACCCCACCGTGTTTGCGACTCCTGTTATGCAAAATTAAAAAAATCCGGTGAAATCGGGAATATTAACAACAACAACAACAACGTCTCCACTTTTCACCGGAAATTTAGCACACAACCCGCACAAGGGCAACAAGGGCGGACTTCAAGGCTTTTAATGTCTCCAAATATTGAACCAGTTAAATATCTTGAAATCATGTCCGCTATGTATGGACCAAAATCAGGTAATTGTTCATCCGTAAGACGTTCACAAGTTCCCTCTTCACAGCAATTGAAGGATATTGCTTTTCCGAGTTCATTGGGGGCGCTTTCAAATGCTTTGAGACCTGTTTCTGGCCCCACGACGATTCAGCCACAGTTTCTGCCGCCACCGCAGCCACCGCCTCAGCCGGTTTCGAGGCCGGCTTCTCCTTTCGCGAGGCGGCCGAGTCCGCCGTGCTCCGGTGGCTCTCCGATGTTCTCGAGAGGTGTGATTGATAGTTTGAAGAAGTCTAATGAGCTTTTGAATCATGAAGTCACCAAGTTACATAATCAGGTAGTGATTTTTGATCTTTTTATTGATTTGTTTATTATAGAATTATATGCAATTTAGGCCAATGGTTTTTTCATACTTTTTGTGAAATTGTAGGTGAAAACTTTAAAGAAGAAGACTGATCGGCAAGAAGCAGAAATTGGGAAATTGAGAACTAAGGCTGAACAGTCTGCTGCCTTGGCATCTGATGAAAGTGCTAAGTGTCTAGTTGCTGTGGATGTCTTCAAATGTGTCAAATCTCAGGTAATTACTAATATCATAAAATAGCATTTATTTGTGAATTACAAGATTTTCATTACATTTCTTTCTATTACAACATTGTACTTTAATTTTCTTTGTATTAAGATGTTATACTTTGAAAAATCTATCGGGTTACAGCAATAAAAACTGTTTTCTCTTACAGTTTTGGTCCTTATTTTTAAGTTTTTGTAACATTTCTAGTCGTCATTCCAAGAAAATGACTAATTTTGGGACCCACATTGCAAAAATTAGCTATACTTGTGGATGAAAAACAGTCATTTTTTTCACTTGGAACAAAAAATGTTGCAAGAACCTCAAATGAGGACTAAAATAGCAAATATCATATACACTCAAGGACCAAAAATGTAATTTACTCTTTTTTTTTATATTATAATGCAACCTAGATTTCGGTGCTGTGGCATTGCAAATTGAAATAGAAGCTTGTTGTTTTACTGTGTTATTTAATGTTTTCAATAACATTATAATATAATAATGTTTTATTTTTATAATTTAATAATGTTAGTGAGCTTGTTCTTTTATATGTCAGCTAAAAGATTTAACAGAGAAGCTGCCTCCAGAACTATCTGATGATGAAGCATTCAAAGCAGTAACTTCTAAAGTGAATGAGTTTTTGCAATCAGACATTACTTCATCCAAAAGAATTAGAAGCAGAAAGTATACTGATGAGAATAATGGATCTTCTTCTTCTGGTCAAACCACAGAATCCACAAGTCAAACAAGCAGACAAAGCAGCTCGAGACTACCCAGGTATCCAAGTAGGAGGGAGGAAAAGAAAGAATTGATTGAACAATTTGAACCTGGTGTTTATGTTACTCTCATTCAGCTCTCAAATGGCACCAAAATTTTTAAGCGCGTTAGATTCAGGTACTTAGTTTTCTTCATTTGTTTTTGTATTATTACAACATCCTATTTTCAATTTCTTTCTTATTTACGCACTACAATAAAATACATAATTTATGTCTGGTTCATGAAAAATTAAAGATGATATAAAGACTTGCTCTCAATCTACATTCTGTGCAAAAGCTGTGAATACCCTCTTTTGACCAAGTCAAAACAGTGTCTTTGTACTGTATGTGACATGCACCGATGTCAATGGGACAAAAATTGTACCCAGAAAGGTGGGACAGAGACTAATATGCTGTGCAAAAGACGTAAATACCATTGTATGAACTTAAGTGTTATGCAAGATCTTGATAACCTTTTTTTGTTTTCATTAAAAATGGCAGCAAAAGGAAGTTTGTGGCGGAGCAGGCGGAAGAATGGTGGAAGGAAAACAAAGAAAGGGTGTTCAAGAAATATAGTACGGGAAGGCCAAGCAACCGTCCAACTACATCTAAGGCTCAGCCACCACCTAATCAGGAACCATCCACATCCACATCCACATCCACTTAGCTCGCTTTCTTTTATCTTATATAACCCACTTAACAAAATGCGAAAATATTATTTGTTGTGGTAGTCCCTATGAAGTATCTAAAGGGAGTAAAAAGGTTAGAATCCATAGGTGACATAATATAGAGATTGTGATTTATCTTCCTCATGTTGGATATTGGATATATGGGACCGCGATTTGTCTGAACACAATCTTGGGGAACCACAAACAAACTTATGTTAAAGGAAAGAGAGATTAAACAACAAATATAATTTTTTTATGTGTGGATAATTTTGTAACACTCTTGCACAATATAAATGGGTCTTGTTACCCAAATTTTATAGTCTAATTTGTATGTAAGAAATTCTAAATTATTTAAGGTTAAGATTATTAAGGTCATTCCAAATATATTTTGGGTCATAGTGAACCGAAAAAAAAAAGCTCCCAAAATCATTAATATAATAACCATTTAACAATTGACACACCATTAAAAAAAATCACTAATAATATTATCATAAATACAAATAAAACCATAACATTTACAAAAACATTTATCTCAAAGGAAAATAAATCTATCTTTTTTAGATGCACAATCGTTGATGATACTATCAAGATAAATTTTACCTAACATATCTTTTTCTATATATAATATTGTTAAACCATTTTACATTTCTTGTGACATTAATAACTTTAGGTAATTGTTTAATAACTTCAATTTTATTAAACTGTTTTCTGCAACGCAACAATAATGGTTAATAAATCGTTATATCCAATAAAAGGAAAATAAATCCGTTCAATGGATCTGCTCCAAGAGTAGGGTAATCACTATCATCATCAAACATAAATCTTGGATAGGCGTGCTAGTCACCTTGTGACTCAGCGCATCAACCACTATATTGGCATTCCCGTGGTGGTATAAAATCTCGCAGTCTTAATCTTTCACTACATCCAACCACGTGCATTGCCTCATATTCAGATTGGCTGATCCATCAAGTACCTCAAGCTCTTGTTATCCGTATAGATGGTACAACGGACCCCATAGAGGTAATGTGGCCAATTCTTGGGGGCGAAAACCACCGCCCCAGCTCCAGATCATGTGTAGGGTGATTCACATCATGAGGCTTCAGCTGCCTCGACGCATAGGCGATCACATGGCCCCACTGCATAAGTACTGCACCCAATCCCATAATCGATGCATTATAATAAACCATGAATTCGTCAATGCCCTTGGGCAGAGTCAAGATCAGAGCCTCGTACAATCTCTGTCGTAGGGTCTCAAAAGTTTTCTGCTGCTCAGACCCCCAGCGGAAAGTAACTGTCTTCTTCGTCAACCTGGTCAACGGAACTGTGATCCTAGAGAAATTCTCAATGAACATCCGATAATATCCTGCTAAACCCAAGAAGCTCCGAATCTCAAATGGGGAATTCATAACCTCCCACTACATCACAGTCTCGATCTTGGCTGGGTCGATCAAAATCCCTTTCTCATTGACATGGTGCCCCAAAAACTGCACATCGCGCAGCCAAAACTTGCACTTGGAGAACTTTGAAAAAAAGCCTCTCCATCCTCAAAGTCTCCAGAACCTCTCGCAGATGATTCTCATGCTGCTCCTTGGTCTTAGAATATACCAGAATATCATCAATAAATACAATAACATACCGATCTAGCATCGTTCTACACACATGGTTCATGAGATCCATGAACACGGCTGGAGCATTGGTGAGCCCGAAAGGCATCACCACGAACTCTTAATGACCATAGCGAGTCCTGAAAGCAGTCTTCTGCATGTCTTCCTCTCTGACCCTCATCTGGTGATATCCCGGCCCTAGATCTATCTTGGAGAACCAAGATGCGCCCTGAAGCTGATCGAAAAGATCATCGGTCCTTGGGAGTGGGTAATGGTTCTTCACCATCAGCTTGTTTAACTCACGGTAATCGATGCACATCTTGTGGGAACCATCCTTCTTCTTCACAAAGAGTATCGGAGCTCCCCAGGGTGAGCTACTCGGTCTGATAAACCCTTTGTCTAATAGCTCCTGTAGTTGTGTAGACAACTCCTGCATCTCTGGAGGTGCTAACCGGTAATGTGCTTTAGCTATCAGAGACGCACCTGGAATCAGATCTATACGGAACTCGACCGGCCTCTCCGGAGGCACTCCCGGTAAATCCTCTGGGAACACATCAGGATACTCCCGAACGATTGGAACATCATCACATGAATTTTTCCCTCCTTTTGGGTATCCAAAACGTAGGCTACAAAACTAGAACAACCCTGCTGAAGATATCTCCTAGCCCTCGCAGCCGAACAGAGAGTTGGTCCTCGCTGAGCACCATTGCCATGAATAACTAGATCTCCCACACTTGGGGTTTGAAACCGAACTAACTGGTACTCACAAATTGATCATCACCTCATTAGGGCACAACCAACCCATCTCCACAATGACCTTGCACTCGTGCAAAGGACTAGGAACCAAATCAATCGGGTATCTCTCTCGAAACAGCTCAAGAGTACATCCCCGATGAACCCTCGATACTCTCACTGAACGATCATCGGCGATCTCCACCTCCAACGGATAATCAAACTACCCAGGAGCATGACTAAATCTCTTGTTGAGCGTAAGAGATACAAACGATTGGGTAGCGCCCAAATCAAAAAGGACCAAAGCATGCAATCTGTTCACTAAGAACGTCCCTAAGCATTACGACATGAAACATAAGCATAAACAATAATGGAAGCGCATAAATAAATGGAAAACATACCCGTAAATACGTCAGGAGTCATACGTACCTCCTCAGTCATCAACTAAAAAGCCATACTTTTTACTATATGGGTCGTTGTCTTGCCCTCCCGACCATCTGTGATCCTCTGTGTCGCCTGAGCGGGTGCTGCAACCGCTCTTACTGTCAAACTCGTGTTGGATTAGTGTCTAAGCCCGTAACTATATTTGGTATGTACTTGACCCGGTTGTGCATGGTCCTTTTGGGTTGCCTTCACCAAAGCAACTTGACAAGGTAATTTAAGAATAGAGAGAGAATATTATGGTTTATTAATATATTATAAGAATAATATATTAAAGGAGAAATCATATTTATTTAATTGGTATTAGTCATAAATTAATTAGGAATTAATTTGGTGACTAAAAGAGATTAATTAAATAAAGGGGCATAAACTGTCAAATGTGTGATTGTTGAGTTTTGGGCTGGGAAACCGAATGGACTAAGGGGGAACGAAATTATGATGAAGGATCATCATATTTTCGTCCAAGGCCTCATTCCAGAAGGTTCCTTGGGCTACTTGGTGGCTAAGGTATCCATTAGGGTTTAGACTGAAACCCTAGCAACCTATAGTATAAATAGAGACCCTAGCATGCAATTTTCGGCCACTGGTTCCCAAGAGAAACCCTAGGGCCGATTTTAGCATTGTCTCTCCTCTCTCATAATTGCCTTCTTGCTTGTGTGGTGTTTGTGATCCATTAGAGGAATTACAATTGTGATTCTAAGCTCAAGAGAAGAAGATTCAAGCTACTATTGAAGAGGTAAACATCTAGATCTGATGTTATATGTTATTTTGATATTGTGTATGCTAGATTAGGGTTTGTAAGTCTTGGATTCAAAGCATGTACAATAGAGAAACCTACATCCAAGCATTAGGGTTTGTATGAGCACATAGGATTGTTCTTATGCCTAAAACCCATGAGTGGTATCAGAGCCTTGATTGGTTTCTGTTGTATGTGATGCTTTAACTGTTTGCATGCTGAAAATCGTTTTTCTGGCTTCTGTTCGACTGGACTTGGCGAGTCACTTCATGCACTCGGCGAGTCGGCCCTACTCGGCGAGTCCATGAGTGGCTCGGCGAGTCGGATCGTCTGACAGAGGATATATCGGGATTTCTTGTTGTTTTTGCTATGGAGTAGTTGCCTAATCTGTTTTTACTGATGAAATTCGAATTTTAATGATTTTGTGAGACTATCCTTGCCAAAAACAAAAGATATTTACCAATTGATTAGATAATAAATTCCTTATATGATTAAAATTGATTATTTGTATTAATTGGGTAACTTATCTTGCAAGAAATTGAAATAGGTCAAATATAGATAATCACTAAATTAATTGTTTGATTTATATTATTTGTTATTTGATCCCTTGTGTTTTGAAAAGTTCAAAACTTGTCCTCAAGTTTTGAAATTTAAATTTTGTGATTAAAAGTTTAATTTTGAATGATTTAAATTTCAAACCCTTAGAATTTTACAAGTTTAAAATTCAACCCTATACTATTGTATTATTACAAGATTAATATGTATATATGTATAAGAATAAGCTAGTCTTATCGCTAGTAGGCCTCATTCACGAAGCCAGTCTATAAGGTGGGTATAAGGTTGCTACCTATAAAATGGCGCTTAATGGGTGTACACTCACACCTACCGCTTGCTTGACTGGTGGAGGGTCGTTAGCCGAACGGATAGGATAGGGCACTTAATTCCTCATTATAAGTATAATGAAAATATTAAAGTAACTACATTGTTTTATAAATTCTCAATCTTAGTTACTTTAGGGAAAAAAATGTGAAAATGATGATATTCCATGGAATTACACTTTGTACCCCTGTCAAACGTTAGTGGAGCATGCGTGGCTAACCGGCACACTAATTTGGGATTGACATTGGTGACAAAGGGTGGCTCGATGTTTATCATAGATCAATGGAGCGTGCGTGGCTAACCAACACATTGATTAGGTGATAAAGACATTGGGTGCACCATGTTGATTCGCATGGTTAATCACAACTTGTTTGCGATTCTCGGCATCCCAGTCGCAAATATGAAGTGCATATCGAGATTTAAACATGCCATTGAAATGTTCAATGAATCTCAAAAGAAATCTAGGAATTTTCAAATACATTTAAAACTTAATCTCTTTTCGTTTTTCATGGTGAAAATTAGTGAATCGTCATTCACTTACCTTCAAATTGTTTACTTTTAGATTACGGCATCCCTTTTCTAAGCTGTAAATAATGTTGTTGGATCCTAGCCCTAATTTCTCATTTGGGTGTTTAATTGGGGATTCATTTCTAATCAAACTTTGTTTCTTTCTATTTCAAAATGTCTAACGCAAACGCAAACAACAACACTTCTGGGTCATTCTCGTTGATGAACCTGTGTCAAAAGGTGACATTTGAGGGCTCAAACTTCAACGAGTGGATGAGATACATTCGCATGATAACTCGCTACGAGGACAAACAATATGTCCTCGACGAGAAACTGGAAAAAAAATCAACCCAGAAGAAGCTAC